TGCAACTCTCATTTTGATCAAATTTCCAAGCTAACAATTTGTTTTCATCACCATATTGGAAAGCTGGTTGTTTTTGTCCACCATTAAGTTTAGCCAAGTAAGGTTTACATCTAGTTAAATGATATCGTAGATTTTTGGTCCCACAAACACCTGATTCACACTTGTAATTCCCGCCACCACAATGCTTACATTTGCATTTTTGAAAACCCTTTTCGTCCTTATATGTTTCAAATTATTTCCAAACTTTCGATATTGGGTTGAATTCTTTAGTTTTTTTCTCTTTTTCTTGTGGAACTTGATCATTGGTTGAGTTGTCAACTTCAATCGTCTCATCTTCTACTTCAATATAGTCATCCGTTGTTGACATCTAAAACAAGAAAAAATAACATCTTAGCAAATAGCAATAAAAAATATAATAGAAATGTGACCAAGAAACATATTATCAAACTTTGATTTTGACTAATTGATACCACAATTGTCAGTTAGTTGTGGCCAAAAGATATTAGTGTTGTTGGTGGTCTTTGATTATTAAGCTCCTACAATTACAAATCGAATCACAATACAACATCAAGGATAAGTAAGTATCATATATTCCTATTTAGTTGATTTTTTTTTCATGTTTTTGTATTATTAAACAAGTAAAAAAGGACACAAGCTTAGTTTAGTCATGATCTTATAAGTTGACAATTTGTGAGTAAGATTTGGAAGGAACCCTAGACCTGGAGACAAAAGATGATCTCAAAATCTCATCTATCATTTTTATTTCGTTTTCCAATATATTTTATTTTTTTGGTAGTTGTTGTACACCAAGCAACACAAGTTTTGATTATAGTTGAAGCTTTTAATTTTTTTCGCTCGTTTAAATCAACTTTCACGCTGCCAATAAATGGGCCAAAAAGAGGGATAATAATAAGAATCAGTGTTTGTTGCATAAAAGGGTAAAGCTTGAACCATAGAGAAGCATGGAATTTGAGCAAATAGAATAGCGTGTTCGGTTTGCAATCTCAGTAGGATCTATCCTAAGGGGTATGTTAACATTGTTATGCTTACTTTCTCTATTACAGTAATTGGTAGAGATGAAATCATGAAGTTAAAATAAAAGCATTTGGTAGATATCATTTACTTTCAAACCAAGTTTGAACTTCAAACTTTGAATTCCAAATATCCTGGAGGCGACGACTGGCGAGGATGACTGCGACTGCGACTGGTGACGAGGCGGGGATGACCCGTTGCGGGTTGGATTTGATCAGTGATGAACGAAGATGTGATGCAAGGGTTTTGACGAGAAAATAGAACGAGCGAGGAGCTGGGATTTGGTCTTTTGGTGTTTTGGACGAACACGGAATCGGATAATTAACTCATATAGGAATAAAAGATATTGGACCATCATTATTTGTTTAATAACTTTTCGGGTAATCGGGTATATCCGAAACCCCAAAAACTTACCCTTTACCTAACCTGACAAAAAATCGGGTTACCCAGATACCCGAAATTTTGTACCCAATACCCGAAAAAATCGGGCGGGTAATTCGGGTAACGGGTATTTTCGATAGGGATACTGTATCCTATGGATAAGGATATTGAGAAAAAGAAGTAAAATACTAATATGACTTAGTCAAAGCACCTACTTGGACAAGGTGTTAAAATGTTTCAGCATGGAGAACTCCAAGAAAGGTGACTTACCTATCCAAGAAAATACCAAACTGAGTAAGACTCAGAGTCCGAGTATAGAGGTTGAAATAGCATAAATGAGTTATATACCATATGCTTCCGCAGTTGGTTCGATCTTGTATGCTATGACTTGTACTCACCCTGATGTGGCCTTTGCTTTGAGCATGGTCAGCAGATATCAAGGGAACCCTGGTAAAGCTCATTGCATTGCGGTTAAGAACATTCTTAAGTACCTATGGAGGACTAAGGATTGGGTCCTTACCCTCGGTGGGAGTAATGACTTGAGAGTAACATGATATAGCGAAGTGAGATTTCAAACCGACAGAGATAATTTCCGCTCTCAGTCAGGCTGGGTATTTACCCTGAATGGAGGACCAGTGACATGGAAAAGTTCAAAGCGTGAGATTGTAGCTGATTCAACATGTGAATCGGAGTACTTATCAGCAAGTGAAGTAGTGACGGAGGCGATATGGTTGAAAAACTTCATCGAAGACCTTGGAGTTATTTCATCCTAAAGGATCTTGTGGAGATTTTCTGTGATAATGAAGGAGTGGTTGCCTTAACCAAGGAACCGAGAGATCATGGAAGATCTAGGAATATCGACAGAAAGTACCACTTCATAAGACATGAAGTTGAAGAAGGTCACATCGTGGTGAATAGGATATCGTCAGAGGACAACCCAGCAGATCCCCTTACAAAGGGACTGACCAGGGTTAAGGACTTGCAGCATGCGAGGGGCATTGGGCTAAAGGATGATATTAGTTTTAGTGATAAGATAAACCGAAACTTATAATAGCTAAATTGTAATTAACATTTGATGATGAATAAAAGGAGTTTTATTTATAAGTAAAGTTACTGTCTTGTGTCAATCACTTACTATTGTTTCAATTTGCATGTTTTGACTTCTAGAATAATAGGACTTATCCAAACTATCTTCACTTGATCATACTTTGGCTGTAGGTATGAAAGAAGACTGTCATGAGTTGGCTTGTAGATTTGTCTAAGGAGTTAGACATATCAACATGTTTGCTACACCATTCATTAGTACTTCTGAAATAAGATTTAAGTATTGGATCAAACCGCGCTCACTTGAATCACTTCATGGAATTTATCACGAGTGATCGTTAGATGATAATATCATATAAGTCTTCAAACCTAGATATATGAGTTATTGACTACAAGTTGGTTGTGCATTGATGATACGAAAACACATCAGTACCTTGATGTTATAAAACGTATCGTTGTGCATGATTTAATGAGTAGTTAGTACAATCATATAATGTGAAGTTTATTCGTTCCTTTTTATCCTAAGAGGATTAAAAGCGATATCTTGGGCCCCTCGATGATTCTATCTTGAATTATGTGTCGGGCCTGGTTAGAACTAAATTGATGTGTTCAGTTATGTTCTATGTCAGACGAATTGGAAATCGGGAAACAAACTCCTGGACAATAAGTATGGCATTGTTCCATGTATTTGTTCAGCTGATATCTTGAGAACAGAGGATTATATGATCCCTTATCTAAGGTATGCGTCACTGACTGGGTCAAAGTTGACAATGGCTTTTGAAAGCTTACGATTGCTAATTTGGATCCTGAAGTCACATTGGCAACTACAGTTATTAGATTTATCCAAGTGGGAGAATGTTGGATTTGGTGTCTAAGCCCATAACTATAATTGGGATGTACTTGACCCGATAGTAGCATGGTCCTTTTGGGTTGCCTTCACCAGTGCAATTTGATAGGATTGATTTTTGAGAATAAGGTTATTTGTGATTTATTAATGTATTACAAGTATAATATATTGATATTATTTAATTGATATTGATCAAGAATTAATTTTCTAATTAATTTGTGATCAAAAGAGACTAATTAAATATATGGGGATTGATTATGTAAATCAATGATTCTTGTAATGTGGGCTAATGATCCATGACTATATAGTTGGGCTAAACCAATAAGATAATCCATTGATAGTCCATGGAGGTTAAACCATGGAGTATGTAAATGTGGAAAGTCATGGGTTATTAGGGTTTACAAAGTGTAACCCTACCATTTTCCACATTATAAATAGTAACCCCATAAGCCAAAATCAGCTACACACTCATTAGAGTCAAGTATCTTATTCTCTTAAAGCCCCCTCTTGCATATTGGTGTTTGTGAACCATTAGAGGCATCACACTTGAGGTGCTCAAGCTTTCAAAGGTCAAGAACTCTACCCTACTTAAGAGGTATGCATCCAAATTAAATTTTGTTATATAGCTTCAGTTGTATGCTAGCTAGGGTGAATGCTTTGGAACAACAAAAAGGCATGTATAATTAGAGAAAACACAGATCCAAAGCATTTAGGGTTGCATGTGTACCGTGCTAAAAACCCAACATCACATTACTAGCACATCCCCAAGCCAATGGTCAAGCAGAAGTATCCAATATAACGTTGGTAAATGGAATTAAGAAGTGCTTGGGAAAAGCTAAAGGCAATGGGGTCGAAGAGCTACTGGGAGTGCTCTGGTCATACAGGACAACACCAAGAGTGAGCATGCAAGAGACTCCTTTTAACTTAACCTATGGTACAGAGGTGATGCTGCCAGTAGAGTTGATGGTTGGGTTGCTCCGAATGACCCATTTCGAAGAAGCAAGCAATAAAAAAGACATAAGAGCAAACTTAGACCTCATCGAAGAGAAGCGTGAATAATGAAACATTCGTTAAACAGCCTACAAAAATAATGTGGAAAGGTATTATAACCAAAGGGTCAAAGAGAAATTTATCAAACTAGGAGATTAAGTTCTGAGGAGAAATGAGGCAAGCCACGCCCAACCGCAAGGAAAGGTGGGCTCCACGTGGGAATGATCGTATAAGGTCATTGAAGCCCAACGCAGCGTTGCATACGGGCTCGAAACGATGGAAGGAAGGCAAATACCATGAACGTGGAATGCCAAAAACTTAAGGAAGTTCCATTTCTAACTCGCCACTTAGATTGATCACCCGGGGGACGTTCGGTGTCGAAGGCTCAGCACACATAGGTATGCAACTTTACCTTTCCTTTTACAAAGTAGTCAATGTAACTACAAAGCTAAACATAGTTGTTTTGTTAAAGTACTCAGTGTATTTGAATGGGCATCCTATTAAAATACTCAATGTATTCAAATTTAAATACTTAGTGTATTTACAAGGCTCATAATAGCCATCAAACTAAAATACTTAGTGTATTTACAAGGCTCAAAATAGCCATCAAACTAAAATACTTAGTGTATTTATGAGGATCATAGTAGCCATCAAAATCAAATACTTAGTGTATTTATAAGGCTTAGAACAACCATACTTAGCGTATTTACGAGGCCAAGAACAACCACATTATACGGGTTACATCAGTACCCGACGCTCCAACGGGCATAATAGCCGGCGAACCCCCTACACCCTGCGATTAGAAGCAATCACCCATCACCAAATTACAAAGAAACAATAATAGGGGTCGAAAACAAAACCATGAGCACAAAGTACAATAGATCACAAGCGAAAACACTAAATATCATTCATATTGCAAAAAACTGAAGAGTTATTCCAAACAAGGCCAGGAAGGCCACCACTACCAACCGCTATCCAACCATACGATAACAAGTTACAAGAGCTTCACATTTTTCTTTCACACCCCTGAGGGGAAGCACACGGTACGTAAGTACCTTAAGAATCAACTGGGTGAACACCACTAACATCGCTTCTCACCACCACACCACCACCAGCACCACCATTAGCACCATTGACGCCACCACCGTTGTTGTCATCGCCATCATCACCTTCGCCATCACCACCAACTCTGTCGATTAGCATGCCATCAGGAATTTCATCAACATCATCCAGGATGCAAAGTTACCGCATACCCTCCATGTCCAAATGCCCCAAGCCCAGAAGAGAAGCATGATTCATAGTGGCAAATGCAAGAAGGGCATCATTGAGGCTCATAGTATGGATGGACTAGGACTCAATGGCATTGGGGGAATAAGAGCTGAAATCCACCTCAGCTTTGAGCTTGTTGTGGCCGGACTTTTCACCGGCGATGAACGCGACATGCTTGATCCGGCTAACAACATCAGTGAACTCCGGATGCTCAGTTAACTTCTCCATAATGCGCACAACTCCCACCTATAAGAGTCAATCCCGGTCATGCCGAGCAGCCTCTGCCTTAGCTCGAGCCTCCTCGAGGAGTTTATGATGATGACATGCATCAGGCTCCAGGCTCTCATTCTGAATCATGAGCCCTTCATTGGAATGGGTTAAGGAGTCTACTTTGGCTTCCAAGGCATGTTGAATTTCTTTTGCAACAACTTTCTCCAAAGCAAGTAAAGCATATATCTGTTCAAAGCCGTGAACATCCTTTTCGATCTCAGCAATCCGACGTTTCAGGTTGACCTCCTGGACACCACAACCTGTATGTGCAACTTCCATATCATTAAGCAGTTGGATTCGGTGGGCACCCACAACAAGATAGAGCATGTCCTGGGCAGCAACATAAGACATGTTATGAGCCAAGGTGGGGCTACCCATGGCCTCCATATCGGTGACAACAATAGGCGGAAGTGCATGGAGAACAAATTCTACAATATTGGTGTTGACAAACAAGCGAGATTCATTTTTCAAACTCCAAGCAGTAAGAAACACATTAGATCCAGAACCACCCCAAGGGGGGCCCTCGTAAGGTAGGGTTTGATGCAGCTCAGCACCCCCGAGACCGCCGGAGGAGAAAGATCAGAATAAGACTGCATGATAGTTTGAACAGGTACAGTGGGCTTCTTGATCGCCCCTCGTCCCCCTTGGACTGTTGCATGTCATCATCATGGATCACAACAATTGCCTCTGGCATACAAGAGATCGAGTTCAATAAACGAGTAAAGTTATGTCTCGACTGAACCACCTCTCGATGTTAAAAATATAGGTGGAGGTCTCCCCCATGGCCAAGACCTATTTCCTCTTAGAAATGACCAGCCGGATGTTAAAAATGATGTCATCTTTATTGTCCTCGACTACCTCCATATGGTCAGAACCGGCAGCAGAAGATGGAGAAACTGTCAAGATAGGCTGGGAGGCCAAAGGTGGTTCCCCGATAGTTGCCGAAGATCTTTCAACAACTGGAAAAACTGGAGAAGCAGTCACGGTGAGCCGATCGGTCCGATAAGGCGGAGGAAGCGTTTCAACTAGATCAGTTTCCCGGTGCTCCAGCTTCCCCCCGATAGCTTCCGCAGGACCTCATCTATCGAAAGAGGAGATTCAGCGCCTGTAAAAGTAAAAAAAAAAAGTCAAGACCAAAATGGATAAGTATGAAACCCTCCCCTACTCTTTTCCATCAAACAAAAAAAGGTGGGGGAGGGAGAAGGAAGAATAGTAGAACTACTCACCATTAGTAATGGTATAAAAGATGAGAATCTTCTCCCTAGGCCTCCAGGAAGGGATCATACCAACACCAACGACAAAAACCTCCGAATAATCCTCTGGCACAACTTGAATAGTCCTTAGGAGATCAACAATAGTCTGGTTGTGAGGGTATGACTTAGGAGTAACCTTAGCAAAGTTGTTTGCCCGATACCGCCCACGGCCGACCTGATCTTGGTTGACCCACATCCACTTGTCTTGCTATTAATTATTGGGGGTCTTACCATTAGGAACCAAGGTGTGCCCCCTTGCCGGACATAGAATGTATATTTGTCTCTTGTAGCATAGAACCTAAAGAAGTACTTGAAGACAAAGTAATTGGGAAGCATCCGATTGGCTCGACAAATCATCTTAAACGCCACTACTTTGTTGACAACATTTGGAGTGAACATTTGGATGCTACACCCATTTTTATGCAAAAGCTTATCTTGAAAATTAGTGAGAGGGAGGCACAATCCATTATCGAGGGTTTTCAAATAAACACCCACCTTGCCTGGGGGAGGAGATAAGATCATCAAATCAGGCAATTGGAACTCAACCCCATCAGGCGGAGAAAGGCTATAAGCATCACTAAGGAGCTTGAATTCTGCTTCAGATGGAATGGTACTATTTTCAGTACCCATGGAACCAAGAGAAAAAACTCTACAAGAAGAAGGAAAAGAAAGGAGAAAGAAGTGTTGCGAATAAGGAATGCCTTTTAATTTATAAAGAATAAGGAAAAGCGAGATATTCAAAATCCCTGACGTAATGATGTAACTGACTGCCATAGTGGGCAGTCACCTCACCGTAAAAATCAAAGCAATGACTGAATCGAAGCTCAATGCGTGTACCGAGCAGTTAATTCCAAGACATCATAGCTATCCTTGCAACGCTATAACTACTGGAGTAGGGGACTTGATGACGTGCCCCTAGAACGCACGAAAAGTCATGCCAGAGAATACCCCAAGGCATGATGCGCCCAGCAGACGAAGCCCGACGGAACCTAGTGCCCGTTAGCGCCCCTAAGAGTAGGGCGCTCGCGGAGAAAGGCTTGGCCTTGCCAGGGGTGCCTTCCACTCTGGGACAAATGTAACAGTCTTGGGCGACAAGGTAAATTCTCAGAGCATTACTGCCTGAACTAATTATTGGCTCTGAAAGATTAATGAGCAAGATCGCATATTCAACGTCCCTGATCCTGTCGGTTATGATGACCTTGTATCGTATGGACTAGCAGAAGGACTCGATATAAAAGCCACCACAGGTGCCTTGGGAAGTAAGTTGCCTTCTTTCATTTTACTCACAATACTATCACAAGTCTATCAACTGACTTGACCGTCGAAGCGTTTTCCTGGGAACCTCCTACCGCAGAACAGTTGACAATCCTTTCTCATTGTGACCTTGCAGGTTCACCGGAGTCACCAAAGGCATAGAGCACCATCATAGTGGAACCAATTCACATCATTTGGAACCATTCGTAGTGTGAAGAAAAACATACCAAAAGCACACTCCTCATCGATGAAAGAATGGCGTCCGGCGACACCAGGGGAACCAGTGGAACACCAAGCAGCCCTATCAGGCCAATGATGTCGCTGGAACAAACCACCACCTCGATTCTCACAGTAATCGCCGATGAAACGTCATAGAAAGGTGGCTTGATGGTAACCACCGCTCCAACAACCGAAAAACAGCGACCGACCGTCGAAGGACAAACTTCTTCCGCCTCCATGTCAACATAAAGCACTCCGATGTAAACATCCCAACTAACGGTGATATAGTCAGTACAACACCACCAAGGGTGGAAGACATTAGCGCCACACCGACTTTCTCACAAACTCCACCGCTAAACCAGACAACAGGCGGATAATCGGTGGTTTTCCAAACACCACCGCTAAACCAGATAACAGGCGAACAACTGGTGGTTTTCCAGACACCACCATTGAACCAGATGGTGAGAAACCAAACAATGGATTTCCAAACACCTCCATTTGCAACAAACATACCTTTCTCCACCACAATCCCACATTACCAGCAACTTGTGCCAAATAATACCCTTGCACAAAACTCACCCCTATTACCCACCCAAACACTAACCTTCCTAGTCCTACAACAAGTGTTCTTTGTTCCAAACCCTGGTCACTCTCTAGCATTTAACAACATGCTCATGCAGCCTTACATCATTGCCCAACAGTATAACCCACGGGGTGTCTTTCCTATTCCAAATCAAGATTTCCTCTTACGCAGCATAACATCTCCATTCGCCAAGGAGCTATTGGATTACGAAATCCCAAACATAACAAAGTTACCACATCTCAAGACCTACAATGGAACCACATATCCCGATAGCCACATCGAAATATACGAGTGGACAATGACCTCACTCAAGTTGGATGAGTGATTCTGGTATCGTACTTCCCAACTACCCTAGATGGCAACGCAGGAATGTGGTTCAAGACGCTACAACCAGGGAGCATCTATAACTTCGGGCAGTTAAAATACCTATTCATGACAAATATCATGCAACTGCATAAATACGAGGGAGATTTGCACTCAATTATTGGTTGCAAATAGAAGGAAGAAAAGACAATGTGAGAATACTTCACCAGGTTCACTTACGCTACATTAGACATCCCGGGCCACGACGAAGACCTAATAGAAGGCGCCTTCACATAGGGCCTCCTACCATGACCACTATCTTAAAATCTCATGAGAAAAAAGCCACATACATATGCTGAGCTAAAATAGAAAGTAGAGCGCTACCTGAGGCAGGAGGAGGGGGAGGCAACAAAATAAGCATACCTGAACACCATGACTACCTAGGCCACAAAACTCCACAGTTCACCACCATCTCACCCCGAGACCCAAGTTAGGGGTAGGCACTTTGGGTGAGGTAAGCACTCGTAGGGACGCTTTAGGCCATTCCAAAGAGACGATAAGTGAGGTAGGTAGCCACGAGTCTATGCAATTTATGACAAACAACTGATGAAGGGAGGAAAGGGATGATATTGTAAGTACCCCAGGAGCAAAACGCACGACACTGTCGACTGCTCAATTTTAAAAAGGGAAATAGAAGAAAAACAACTGAAGGCGAACCTCATCGAGGTGGCACGAAGCCTTCGGGAAAATTTTGATGCTGAGAACGCCAAGGATGGAGCCAGAGGGTGTGACCAACCTCACAAAATCGTGATGATATGCTCCAAATGGGGCAGGCAGTAGGAACATGGTGATATGGACAATCTCACCGGATCCATGCGAGGATTGACGTTTTCAATGAAGGATCCTAGACCGATGGGCTGGCAAGGAGACGACCCACTTATAATCCATGATTTCATCAAAGATGTAATGATCCATCACATATACGTCGATACAGATAGCTCAACCGATATTATCTACGAGCATTGTTTTCGCCTCATACCCGATAGATGGAAGGAAAGCCTCAAGCGTGCAACGGGGAGACTAATAGGTTTCACAGGACACAACCTATGGTCCCTAGTCATGATTCATTTGCCTTTCATACTAATCAACCACGACAAAGTAAAGATGAAGATAGCGCTAATAGATTTTGTTGTGATAAGGCACCCCATAGAGCATAATATCATCCTTAGACGGACGATCCTACTCAAATTCGAGGTGGTCCCGTAAAAAATGCATGGAATAGTAAATTTGAACACAACAGAGGGGTTTACTGTCACATCCCTATTTTCACGGCTAGAAAATACTGATTTTTTTATGCTTTGTTTTAAAATCAGAGTAATCATTTAAAGAAAATTGTCATGTAATTTGTTCCTAAAACAAAATGTGATAAGAATTTATCAAAGCATTTCTTTAAAGAAATGTATTTTTCATTAAATAACAAAATCTCGGAATGTCATGTTCCGATACAGACCAAAAGCATATACAGTATAAAATAGACCTTACAACAGTTATTTATAACTACTGATCTATAATCCAAAATCTCTCGTCAAGTCCACCAAATTTTACTCTTGTGCCATAACCTGTAATGCAAAGAAAACTGAGTGGGTTAGGCTTGGGAGCCTGGTGATCATACAGGGTTTTCAACCCACAATAATATAATTATTATATTCAATCATCAAACAATCAACCCAATTACCCATCCCCATTATCTTTTTTATTTCTTAAGGTTTTACCCTAAGAATCGACTATCCTTCCTTCGTTCGTTCCTAAGGATTGACCTAAGGAATTGTCACACAGTCCATTGCTGCCTGAGGTTCCTATAACAAACACTAAATCCATAGCTGCCAAGGTTCATCTATACAACACTAAATCTATAGCTACCAAGGTTCATCTACCTAGTACTAAATGCATAGCCACCATCGTTCATTTATATAGTACTAAATCCATAGCTACCAAGGTTCATCTACATAGTACTAAATCCATAGCTACCATCGTTCATTTACACAATACTAAATCCATAGCTACTAAGGTTCATCTATACAGTACTAAATCCATAGCTACTAAGGTTCATCTATACAGTACTAAATCTATAGCTACCAAAGTTCATCTACATTGTACTAAATCCATAGCTACCATTGTTTTATTATGAGGAACTAAATCTATAGCTGCCAGGGTTTTTAGAGTACACCGGTGAACATCAAGTCCACAACACCTACAAGTTGCATGCTTGCTAGTGTTCTACTGGATTGTATAGAATCGTCCGTGGTTGTCATCCCTACTCTGCTGAATGACGGGGGCCATCCTTTGGGTAAAGGTTTCACTCATTTTTCACCTATCACCCTCATTTCATGATCTATATCATCTTACGTCTCATCCTCAAACTAATCTTTCATCACACACCAACTATTTCATCTACCCATGTTCTACCCAACATATTTGTAGATATAAATTACATATATCGTTTAAATCATATACAAACCTGTATAAAACATTCATCCAACATCCATCTCAAATAAAGAAACAATATATAAACACATAACACGTATTTCATAGCAAATACTTCATAACTATGTGTTAAAAGAAAGTAACTGCACACTCACTTGGTTAGACAATGCTCGGATAACACTACAACTCTTCAAGTAGAAGTTCTTCTATGAAACTGAGATATCTTCACACACCAGGCTTCTCGTGGGTAGAACTTCGTCTTGAAACTCTTTTCTCCTCTGGATCTTCGGGGCTTCGAGAGTTGCTTTGGGTGTCAGGATGATACCGGGGCTTCGGGGGTGCTTTAAAAGGGCTAGAGAAGGTATTGGGAGTGAGAGAGTGAAGGAATTAGCAACTAAGGCCGCCTGCCCTTTGATTTCTATTTATAGGGCCATTTTTCTAGATTCACGTCGTGAATCTCAAATATTCACGTTGTGAGTTTAGTAGTCATCAGGTGCGTCATCGCAACTTGCGTCTGTCAGGCTCTAGAAGTCATAAATACTGAGTTTACATCGTGAACACTGTGTTCACGTCGTGAACTCTGACACAGAGTTGGGGTTCGCACCCCGAACTTTAGAAATTCATAACTTTCGCATACAAGCTTCTTTTTCAACATGCTTCTTCTTCCACGCGTAGGTAAAAACAAGATCTACAACTTTCGTTTAGACTTCGTCGGCTAATTTTGATGCTAATTTTTATTATCTTTTTTTTAGTGAGCCGGGATAGGAAAACTCCGTTATAAACTCAT